TGCTGCATTCGCGACCTTGACATTATAACAGCTATAACTTTCTTGCTGCAGCGTACCGGTCCAATATTTTGTATTTATGGTAATCAGAAGGTCAATATCTACCAGCACGCGGAGTTTAGAAATAACTGAAGGAGTCCGCCTTTTTTATTATGATCTTTGATATTGATATATCTCCGGTAATAGGGCATACCGGTCCGGTATTTTGTGCTCATTGTGTTCAGGAGGTTAAACTGCATCTGTGTGCAGAGTTTCAGGGCAAGTTGAGGAGCCCGCTGAATCCCGAGTATGGATCTGAATCTGAATGTGAATGTGGTGCCAACTTGACGAAAGTCAGCGTACCAGCACTAATTTGGCATAGTTGTAGAAAATTAAGTAGCAAAATGTTGAGTGTCAAACATTTAGATGGACCTTGTAAGGTCGCTGACCTACGGGGCAGGTCAAAGTTAGGGCATGGATTCAGCGAAGACACATTGGAAGGAATCGTTCAATCTGATGCAACAACGGAGTGTTAGACGAAGTCGTGCGTCTCAGAAATATTTTATTAGGCAACACAGCAATCGAATTAACAAATAACATTCGCTTAGGGTCAGGTGTGAAGGTCGTGTCAAGGTTAAAACCAGCTGTTTCTTACTCTAGGGCTTGCTGTATGGGGCAGTTTCTGGTGCTCATTTTGAATTTACTGATAACAGGAGCCACATTATGCATCTTCCATGGCTTTCTTCCAGGTCAGATTAGGGCGCTGACCTAAGATGACCGAGGTCAACATTTTGTTTTAGCAGCATACTGTCTAGCGTAATCGTCGACGTTTAGTTAAATGCAAAAAGTAAACAAGTCTCATGAATTTGGTCACCACTACCTTCAGAAGGTCACAGAAGGTCATGAAATTTTATTCAGCATCAGTGATGTTTTGCTCAAAACAGGTGTCTAGGTGCACGGTAGTTGTATGAGAAGGTATGGCGGCACTTTGGACACCAATCTGGAATTTTACCTTGTTTGTATTTATTTGACCCGAATGTCACGACCCAGGAATCTCAACTTTGATGCAAATGCATTCACGTACAAACCAACGCACCCGTGAATTTGGTGTGTCTAGTTACTTTAGTTTCTGAGGTTTCAAGTGGGGGTCAAATTCATTCACACCACCATCCGAGCGAAGCGTAGTCGAGCGGCCATCCGGACGCGTGTTAAGATTATCAAGAACTGGCTAGGCTTCCGGGCCTTTGAACGTCATGAACGCTGGATGTTATGAACGCTGGATGGTCTGAGCTTTGGATGTTGCTGTTTTGCATGCCGCTAGCTTAGATGTTGTGATTTTCCTCCGTCCAATGACATTGGACGTTTTTGAATGTTATGAACGTTAGACGCTGTGATTTTGGATGTTTTGACCATTAGACGTCATAAATTTTGGATGCTTCCAATATTTATCCGAAACGACAGTTGCTCCCGACAGGACGGTGGGATCCCCTGCGTTGGTGTGGGTTTTACGAATGACGCTGTGGTGGAAAATCCAGGAACTTAAGGTGTGTTTGCGCCTTCGTTGGGAGGGTCGGTGTAGACTGCTTTGTTTTCTTCCTTTTTAACCGGTTGTAGTTACCTTTCGATGATTACCGGCGATGGATGATTATGATTTGTTGGCACTATCATTCGTATGAAATGGTTATTGATGGACTGGTTCAACCCGTGTGAAACGGCAACTGCTGGATAAGTTGTGTGATGAAACGAAGCTGGCTACACACACATGCCGACAAAACCACTGCAACTCCCTCACCCATCTCTCGCACCCCGTGCGTGGCCATCCTGCGCACAGGATGGGTCTGTTTCTGGTGTTGCGCAGGACGGCGCCATCCGGCCACGGTTGATGGCCGTGGAGCCGGCCGGCGGGTGTGGCGACGCGACGACCTGAGCGGCGCTGGCCGGCCGACCCGATCAGGACAGACCGGCGGCCGCCTCCGTGGCGACGCGGCGGCCTGAGCGGCGCCGACTGGCCGACCCGATCAGGACAGACCGACGGCCGCCTCCGTGGCGACGCGGCGGCCTGAGCGGCGCTGGCCGGCCGACCCGATCAGGACAGACCGGCGGCCGCCTCCGTGGCGACGCGGCGGCCTGAGCGGCGCTGGCCGGCCGACCCGATCAGGACAGACCGGCGGCCGCCTCCGTGGCGACGCGGCGGCCTGAGCGGCGCTGGCCGGCCGACCCGGTCGGGACAGACCGGCGGCCGCCTCCGTGCCGTCCCAACCGGTTCTGGGCTCAGGGCACACCACTGCGGCCGGCTGCTGCGCGCCACCTTCGCCGCGTCCGCGGCGCGATGTGTTGCTCGGCGCGTCAGCTGGCGCTCCTCGAGAGCGGCGGCACGACGTAGGACTTTGGAGTGGCCGGCCCATCTGCATCAGTCAGCTGATTGCCGATGTCCGACCGGCAGGGCGTCACAGGAGGGCTGATTGGTCGAGTGATTGTCGTGTGCCATATGTGGTCGATGATTGCGGAGCACCGCCGGAGGGTGGCTACAGTTCGCTGGGGGACTGCCCGCCCCATGTCGAGCACATGCCAGCACAGTATTGTGTTCGTCGTGTAACGGTGAGCGAAGCAGTTTTGTGGTCGTTGGCCCCAGTTTACGTCGACCGGCACCAGGCTGGCGACGTTGCCTTGGCAGTTACGTTGCCAGGCAGAGCAGGTAGCATGTAGCGTTCATCTGTCGGTCATTATATAAATATCTTGTCGCGGAAAGATGCCCAAGGAAGAAAGCCCAGTGCGATCTATCGAAGGCTCAGTGTATCCTGATGTAAGATGGCTTCGGTTATACTGACTGGAGCTTTATATCCTACCCACTGCTAGGGACGCTTTTGGAAGGGGTGCTCTAGGTGGGATGCGGTAGTAGCCAGCGGGAATCCGAACCCAAGATAGGCAGACCTAGAACCGAGCGTTCTAACCTACCGCACTATTGACGGCCCGAAAACAGGGCTTTGACTTGAGTCTCTTGCGATGTGTACATTTACACACTCGCGTCTCTGAGCAACACCGACTAGTACTTGACCTGTCAACGGGGTGAGATGTTATTTCTGGATTCGAAATACAGGGTATCGTAAGAACGGCCTTCAGTTTTGGAATGGCGTTCGAAGTCTGAACAAGTCTGACGAAAGTTGATGTAATTCTAGACATCTGTACCACAATGGCCATTTAAGCATGACACCCGGCCCTTTACGAAGTAAACGCTACCAATTAGCAGATCTCGAACGTTGGTTTGTAATTGATGCGGCTGCTAAACGAACGCCTTCTCAGGCACAACGCGACGTCGCCGAGTGGCAGAGCAGCGGGAGATCACGACACCGTGAAATTCAGGGCTGGTCCCATTATCTGGCGGTGTCATCCACCCCGCGCCTCACCTGTGCTGCTTACGCCGCTCCTGTCGCCTTTCGGCCGCCTGGCGCTCACCGGAGGCGGAGCGGCGCGGGTGACGCCTCCGCCTCCCGCGCCGCTCGTGTCATGGCGGCATGCCACCTCCAAACAACGGAAGCGGCTCTGTTCGGCAAAGTGCAAAAGGACAAGGCTGTTGGTACGAAAACGGGGTGGGCCGAGACATTGATTTTGAAGGACGGCTGTTAGTTAGTTCGGACTGTGGTCTGTCTGCTGTCGACATGTAAGCGCGCCAGGTCGATACTGTGTGTCGAACGTGGTCGGCCAGCATGGATCTTCAAGACGCCGGGGCAGCGCCCTATCTCGATCAAGACGCGGTGGCAGCGCCCTATCTCAAGACACAGGGGCAACGCCCTATCTCAAACTCGTCACGTCTTGTGCCCGTCAGCCTCCGGCGGAGTACCCTAAAACTAACCGGAAGACACATCCCTGACCGACCCTGTCCGACCAGCTGTCTTACGGGCGCGGCACGCAGAAGACGTGTCGGCGTTGACGGCCGCCCGGAGTCCGCTCGGGGTCACGCTTTCCCCAATTAGGCGGGCGCGGCGGTGACGCCTCCTCCCCGCCCGTTCCTTCGTCACGCAGCCGGCTCCAGCCAAGGCCGCCGCCGGGCCGGACGTTGTCTGGCGCGCCGGGTCCGTGGGGAGCGGCAGGAGGACTGGTGCCGCCGATCACGGTCGTTAGTCTCCTCTGCACAGGGTCGCGCCTGGAGGCTCTAGCGATATCTCTCGCGATGTATGGGATGATGGTGGAAGTGGGGTGCGCGCGTCGGCGGGTGGCCTGGCTATTTCGGTGCTGGTGGATGAGACGACAGGTGGCAGATCCTGCTCTCCTTTGTTGGGAGCGGTTCGCAGCACCCCGCTGCAGGGATGACTCGCACGCTGTTGACAGGTTACAAATCTCGGCTGTCCCCAGCAGCTAGCGTTAGTTGCCAATCCTCTTTAGTGGGATCTCTATCCGGGCTTCTGAATCCACGCCACCAGCACACCTCCGGGTTTTTTGGACTGTCATGCTGTCAGGGAGACCTTGCTGGAGTTCGTGCTGTTTATCTTATCTGTTGCTCTGCCAACTGCCTCACAAAGCTATAGCAAAGTCCTGTGGGTGCAAACTGTCGCTGATATAAATACTGTGTGGGCTTGGAGATCTCAGAAGTGTTCTGCAGTGTTCAAGTGCCACCTACTCATATGGCATCACTTCCCTTTTTGACGCTCCAGGACAAAATGTTTTGGTTATGCTGTGTACAAAGTATACATTTCATTATCTTGTCTTAGGTTCTGTAGGTTTTCCTCAGTATCCTCAAGATCTACGCGACTGTGCAACATTGGCGTGTGTATGGAACATCACGACTCCCGGGGACCCCGGCACTATGTGTGGACCAAGCCATGACCCGCTGATGTCGCCGCCGCCAGGTGTTCTGCTGGACGTACCGGGCACGACTCCCGGGGACCCCGGCACTATGTGTGGACCAAGCCATGACCCGCTGATGTCGCCGCCGCCAGGTGTTCTGCTGGGCGTACCGGACACGACTCCCGGGGACCCCGGCACTATGTGTGGACCAAGCCATGACCCACTGATGTTGCCGCCGCCAGGTGTTCTGCTGGGTGTACCGGCACGAGGGGCGCAAGATGAAGCCGGAGCTGCGGTGCCACGCCGTACTCTGCTCGTCCGAGGCCAAGGCGCGCCTCATGCAGCGCCAGCTGACCGAGCGGCTGCATCAGGCGCTCGTCGAGTTCCGCAAGGAGAAGCAGCTGCGCCAGAACGCGCGCCTCTCCGTGGTCAGCGTGCTGTACCCGGGCGCGCCGCGCCGCAAAGTGGTGCTCACAAACGGCGGCGCCAACTACCGGCCGCCGCTCGAGCGCAGCAAGAGTGCGCCCAAGCTGAGTAGCATCGAGGAGGACCGGCTGGGCGAAGAGGCGGCCGCGCGCGAGCCGGCTCCGCGCCGCCGGCTGCCGCCGCCGCTCGCCGCGCTGGTCGAGGAGGAGGAGCCGCTGACAGCGACGCCGCGCCGGCAGCGCGCGTTCAGCGAGCCGACGGAGCCGCCACCGGACGTCAGCTGCCACCCGCAACCGGCCGACGCCGAGCCGGAGCCGCCGGCGCCGGTGCCGGAGCCGCTGAAGCCCGAGGAGCGGCTGGAGGGGCTGCTGCAGCCGCTGCGTGAGCTGCTGGAGGAGTCGTTAGGGGAGCCGATGACGGAACCGCTGAGGCAGTCGATGGTGCAGCCGGACGACTCGGACACGGCCAGCGAACACAGCGCGGCGAGCGTGCCGAGCGACCCGACCGGCGGCGATAGCGACTGCGAGACGCTGGTGCTGGAGACGGGCCCCGGCCAGTGCCGCGTCTACCGCGTCGACCCCCGCAGGCTGGCCGCACGCGGGCCCGAGCGGCCGCCCGAGCCGTGCGAACTCGACGACCTGGTCAGATTCGGCCACGCCTGGGCAAAGCCACGCGAGGAGGACACGACCAGTGATGAGAGCGGGTACTCGGAGGAGCCGCTGAAGGGCGAGTGAGCGGGCCCGCCGCCGCCCGAGTCTAGTCAGGGCACGTTAGAGCGGCCGGCGGCGGCGCGCGCCGCTTGGCGCTCAGGGCCCGGGGCGGCAGCGCTGCGGAAGGTGGCTCGGGACTGGACGATGACGAGGGCATCAACCGCGCACCGTTTCCCATATACTCACGCGTTTTGTATTTATTGTTGGCCTTGCGATGGGTGCGCTTTTGGCGGTTTTCGGCTCGGGGCGCCGTCCTGTCGATTTGTCCCCGGCTGTGCCAAACTTGCAGCTGAGATCCGGCTAGCTCGGCCTGACTTTTCACTGTTTTGAGCTGTTTTGTCGTTGATTTTTAAGCTTCGAATGAGCTGTCGTTCCTTGAATGTGAACGGTGTACACGGGGCAGTAACAGTGGCGTACCTTGCGCCAGCGTCACCGTGCGCAGATATTAGAATCGTGCAAATTTTTAAGGGAAGAATGTGATATCTGATGGTTTGTGGTAGTACAAGTCCGTAACACATGTATTATATTCCATGGATAGAAAATAAAGCTTCAGAATGTCTTGTTATTTAATTAAGTTGAAATCCATTGCACCTTTAACAATGGCATCCTTATAAGAAATTGACGTTTATGACAATAGTGTTTGAATTGGGGTGAATGCAAGTGTTGAGATCTCTTAGCCAACACAGCACTTAAAGGACTTGACTGATCACATTTACAAGATGTGCTTCTGCTGTAAGCAGGTCGTTTTTATTTCTATTTCAATATTGGGTGTGCCTTACATTGCATAAGCTCCCTCAAACTCAAATTTGAAAAACCGCGGTGCAGCGCGGGATTCTGTATTCTGACAGGTGTTTCTCCGGATGTCGATAGCCGGAAAATCTAACAAACCTAAAGAATTGCTTTCGGTTATAGAAGGTTATAGTTTTCGGGCAGTCTTTTGGTCTGCAGGAATAGGTGACAGGTGGGCTTAAAACTTCTAAACATTTCAATAAGTATCCATAGTGCTAACTGGCATTATCAACCGAAGTGCTATTCCCAGTAATCATCACTAGAAGCATCCGCAGTACTGCTATCGGTGTTCACCACTTCTGTTGGACGTCCACGGCACTGATGTCAGAGTTGATCACCTCTTTTGGACGTTCACAGTACTGATGTCGGTGTTGACCACCTCTGTTGGACGTTCACAGTACTGATGTCGGTGTTGACCACCTCTGTTGGACGTTCACAGCACTGAGCATAGTGTTACAAACACTCCAGTATGGTAAACAGCGGTTGCCACTGTTATCATAACCATGCGATGGCTCAGGGACAGCAGCATATTTTGGGCAGCATATTTGGAACAGCGAATGCGGACGTGATCTCGTGGCGCTCACGTAGGGCGATCGTGGTGGTTATATGTTGCGATTGTGGCGCTTACGTGGTGCGATCGTGGTGCTTACGTGGTGCGATCGTGGTGCTTACGTGGTGCGATCGTAGTGCTAATTCGGGATCTCGGCATCGCTTTTCCGCCCAGTGCGTTGGGCAGAAAAGCCATCATGGTGGTGAGACTGAGATTTTACGGCTCCGCCTAAAAAGGAGCCGAACACGTGGAGCCAATGCGCTGCCCCTCCCCCCCCCCCCTGCTCCCCCCTAACCGGTTTTCCATCGGGAATGAACGCCCAAGATGGCGTGACTTGATGCGCAAGCCACAAACAGCCGCCGCCCCGGGGCTGAGCGAGCTGCCTGAACTGAGCCGTGCCGCCCGGTCCGGCGCGCGGGCCATCGCTTGTAATTGGATCTGAACCGGCGTGGGGAACTGTCGGTGCTTAACACTTCCTCCCAGGCTGCCGGCCATTACAGCCTTATTGATGGTGGAAGGGGCATTTTTCTGGCTGACCTGGGTTTAACCGCAAGTTAGAGATGTAAGCACGGTGGCCGTTGGTGCCCGGAGTGTTAGAGATGCAAGCACGCTAGCCGTTGGTGCCCAGAGTGTCGTGGAGAGCTAGAATAGATCAAACGAGGCGGACTCGTCAACACAAAGGCCGGTGCCACCCGTGTCTCCTTGCTCTACCAACTGGTTAGAGTATATTAGCGACTGCGCGTTTTTACGTGCGAGTTCAGTTGCATGTGCTTTTTATTAGTAATAGATTGTATTCTGAGTTAACTAACTGATTTAAACAAATGTTATTTGTTAGACCAATCGTAGCTAGGTATTCGGTTTTGTTGGCAGCGCCACGGGCTACGGGTCACATTATCATAGTTTGATTTGGGAGCGGTCCTCTGGTGTCCAGCTTGCCAGTCTTCGTATGACAACCGGCACTCGATTGTTGGGACTAGGTCTTTTTCCGCAAGTCGTGACCATTTCAGGGCTGTGAGGAGAAGGAGAGTAGAAAACGATGGGGCAAGGCTACACGCGCCTGGGGACCCATCCGCCGAGGCTTTGCCCGTGCGGGGACACCTATGCGGAGTATGGGCTCGACGTCCTGACGTAGACCACACCGGGGGGCATTTCGGCTAACCCATGGCTGGCGCATATAGCCTGCCCCAGTTAAACGAGGCATCATCGTGAGGAAGCCTGAGCCGTACGGCTCGCTCATGGCTGGCGCATATAGCCTGCCCCAGTTAAACGAGGCATCATCGTGAGGAAGCCTGAGCCGTACGGCTCGCTCATGGCTGGCGCATATAGCCTGCCCCAGTTAAACGAGGCATCATCGTGAGGAAGCCTGAGCCGTACGGCTCGCTCATGGCTGGCGCATATAGTCTGCCCCAGTTAAACGAGGCATCATCGTGAGGAAGCCAGAGCCGTACGGCTCGCTCATGGCTGGCGCATATAGCCTGCCCCAGTTAAACGAGGCATCATCGTGAGGAAGCCAGAGCCGTACGGCTCGCTCATGGCTGGCGCATATAGCCTGCCCCAGTTAAACGAGGCATCATCGTGAGGAAGCCAGAGCCGTACGGCTCGCTCACGGCTGGCGCATATAGTCTGCCCTAGTTAAACGAGGCATCGTCGTGAGGAAGCCAGAGCCGTACGGCTCGCTCATGGCTGGCGCATATAGCCTGCCCCAGTTAAACGAGGCATCGTCGTGAGGAAGCCTGAGCCGTACGGCTCGCTCACGGCTGGCGCATATAGCCTGCCCCAGTTAAACGAGGCATCGTCGTGAGGAAGCCTGAGCCGTACGGCTCGCTCACGGCTGGCGCATATAGCCTGCCCCAGTTAAACGAGGCATCGTCGTGAGGAAGCCTGAGCCGTACGGCTCGCTCATGGCTGGCGCATATAGCCTGCCCCAGTTAAACGAGGCATCGTCGTGAGGAAGCCTGAGCCGTACGGCTCGCTCATGGCTGGCGCATATAGCCTGCCCCAGTTAAACGGGGCATCATTGTGAGGAACCCTGAGCCGTGCGACCATCCCCGCCAAACTCTGAGCCCCACGTCAATCCGCTTTGGGCGAGGGTAGCAGTTTCAGGGTACCGTTCCCCTGACCAGCTGGGGCCTCTGAGCGCTCAAGCTTTCAGAAACTTGAAACGGGAGCATGCTGTTTTTGATTCAATAACCGCACACCAGTTAGACAGTGATAAGTTAGGCTTGTTAGATTGATTATGGTTGCAAGTGTAGCCACAGGTTCGGCACTAACTCGCGTAGTCTGTTTTTACTTCCTGCTTGCTGGGGCGTATGCTGAGCTGTGGGAGCTCTGTGCTTGTCATCCTCATCTCGGTGGGCCGGCGGCGGCGGCGGCAGTCAGCGCTTCCGGTGCCTCATCTTCACCGCGTCTATCACGGGATCAAGGCCAAGGATCAGCTGTGACCTGCACCGCCACCCCTGCCGGAGTTTTGCGGCCGCCCGGAGGTGGCGTCGTCGCCCTATATACCTCCGCTGTTGGGTCAAATTTCGAAATCGGCTGTTGGGTCGGCTCGGTCACGGCCCTCTTGGTACGGTATGATAGGGTGGCAGCTTCGCAAAAACGTGCGTATATGTGACTTGCCGGACGACTCACATATGTGGGACACAAACAAGCCGCGACCTCACACCCCGCAAAACTCGAAGCCAGCGCGAGCGTCCAGTGCCCGCGCTGGCCCTGGATCACAGCACGTTATCAGCGAGCGTTCAGCGCCTGCACCGGCCCGGATCACAGCAGGTTATCAGCGAGCGTTCAGTGCCTGCACCGGCCCCGGATCACAGCAGGTTATCAGCGAGCGTTCAGTGCCCGCACCTACCCTAGATTACAGCAGGTTGTCAGCTGCTGGCTGCTGGTTCACGGCATTGCCACTGGGCAAATGCTCCATGGCTAGTCGTACTGATTCGGTACATGAAAGACATGGAGAGCATGTCTGGTGAAGGGGCGTCAGCCGGCGTCTGACAGATACGTGACAGCGGCTCCCTGTGGACCGGTCACATCGCGGCACACAGGGACTCGGAGAGCAGGACTTGTTGCGGACTGGTGCCCCTTTTAAGCGGAAACTGCGGAAGTAAATTTCTGAATTGGCCTTGTGCCCAATGGCCAGGAACCGGAAGTCAGCACGGTGTTCGCACGTGGCAACATCGATTTCGTCCGATTTACAACATTTAGTTTTGTGCATGCAAATATGAATGCAGATGAAGTAATTCGTGTAAGCACTACTCAAAGGACATTCCTTACCGAAAGGGTCTTGGTAGCCAACATGCTGTCAAATACGATGTGATACAATCAGGAGCTTTCCATGCAGCTTTTGGACAATACGAAATCCAAAGGAACTGTTGACCTGCAGCCAGCTTAGCTGAAACTGACCCTTAAAAATGCTCCACGGATGGAATACATAGAATGCTCAGTAACCTTCCGTAGGTTCGTCTGACCAATCCCTAAAAAAGGGCCGTGGCCATGCTGATGAGAGATAGAATACAGGAGAGCATTGCGATGGTCATGCTTCTGCACAACAACACACACCTTCCACTGTCCCTCGATGTAAGTATGTTCTAGCCAAACAGCAGCAGTCGTTTCCTCCGACAGGACCGCTCTAGCTCTTCACACGACGGGTGAGGGGTCGGCCTGGGTCACAGCAAACCGCCATGTG